ATATCAAATTCGGTTAAGTACTTTAACATTGGATTTTTATTTGATTTCATTATTTAAGAAAAATGAAATTTTAAAGAATGTGAGGAAAATGAATGAATTTAAAATGAAGTGTGTATTATTAAGATGATGGTTAAAACATGTAGAAAGAATGAATAGGCCTAAATTTTAAAAGAATTTCGTTTTAAAGGCCCAATTGTCCGAAAAACTTTTATGGTTGTGAAAAGAATAAGACTTAACAGAAAAGGCCCTGTCTAATTTTTCTTATATAACTCAAAACTTTATACCCTTTTTTTTTTTTTAACTATTTGATATTATTATTTTTAGTTCAAATTATATTCAGACCTTTTCTTTTAAGATTTGAAATTTTTGTATTGGGCTTCATCCCTCTTGTCAAATAAAATCCATTTTTCTGTCTTGTGGACTTGGGCCCCATTCCTTCATAAACATATCCTTTAGTCTAGATCAGTTTTTTTAGGAGCAATCTATTGGGCCGAGTGATTGAGGGCAAAACAAAGTACCAGCAAAGAACAGAGCAAAATATACAAGGGCATCTAATGCATCAATCTAGAAAATTTTGTATTTATTTTTTTTTTTTAATCTTGAATTGCATAATAAAACATAACTCTCTTTGATTTTTATCCCACTCTTACTCACATGCCATACAATTTTAATTTAGAATCTCTTATCTTCATTTGAAAGGAGATTAAATAATTTATATTCATTTTTATTCCATTCTTTTTCTCAAACAAGTACGGAAAGCTTTGGAATCTTTACATGAAGAATTATTAAGAATCAACTATCCAAAATTCCAAAAAAAAAAAAAAACAAAGGAAGAAAAATAATTTCCCTAATCAAAACCAATATTGATTCCAACTTTGCTAAGGTCACTGGTAACTAGAATCAGAAAGACAATCCATTGTAATTTCCCTTTGGCCTTTTGGGAATTTTATGTTTGAATTATAACAAACCCTCATTCGACTTCTCCTTTTCAATTGCTGTTTTCCCTTCTTGCAACTCTGTTTCTTCCACTTTTTAAACAGAGGTGAGGTGTGTGATGCGATTCATGTTAGCGCACAATAGAGCTATAGGTTGATTATGCTTAGATATATCTAAGCCTTCAAGGATTTAATGGTCTGACTTTAATTCAAATTGCTTGTATTCCACTTGCCTTCAACTTTGTTCTGTTCTTTGTTCTTTGAGGAAAACAAAGAAATAATGATGATTAAGCCTTTGAATTTTGTTTTTTTCTTTTTCTTTTTTGTTTTTTTAATGAAAAATAGAGAAATATATTAAATAATAAAAAATTATAATATAATCTTTATCTCATGGCATTATAACCAAAATCAAAATAGTCTAAAGACAAAATCAAAAGCATAACCTACAACACTAATAATAGATTTAAATTATACCCATGACAAAAGTAGATAATTAAGTAAAAAGAACCATCTACAACTATGGATTGAAATTATAATCGCTGTATGAGCCAAATAAGACTATTAATGTAGGAAATAAAGTCACTGTGAGTATTAAAAACTATTGAATATCTTCAACTATTTAACAAGATTCTTGAAGAGAGTAAGGGATTTCAACAACAAATAGTCCCCAACTCATAAGTTGCCACTCTACTTGTTCTTAAAGAAAAACAAACAAGAGGGTTATGAGCCTTCTCCAGACAAGCACAAGCCCCCTTTGAATTTTGGTTTTTGTCTTTGAATCATCCTTTGCTTTTTTGGCTATTTAAAATCTGCATTTCTCCATCCA